TTCTCATGACTTTAAAAAATAACTTTCAAAAATAACACTTTATAAATTTTTAATTATAAATCAGAAGAAAATGACTTAATTAGAGGAATTATGTATATATTCCATTTCAGATGATAGGAAATTGGTATACAAATTTCAAAACCTCTAAGCAATAAAGAACTTTCTGTGATGAGGAAATGTTCCATTCTAGGCTGTTTGATACAGTAGCTACTAGACAGAAGTGGCTACTGAGCACTTAAAATATGGTTACTGGGAATAAGGAATAGAATTTTAAATTGTATCTAATTTTAATTAATTAAAATACAAATTTAAATGCCCACATATGGCTAGGGATACTATATTGAACAGTACAGCTCTAGGGAACTGAGAGGAAATATTTGTACCTTAAATTCTGATCCAAATAGTAAAAAGTCCTATAGATGGGTATAATATATAGATGATTCTGAGACATAAATATTTTTTTAAATTCTTGTGATTTATATAGAGGAAAGGACTATCATACAAAGTAAAAAAAATTCTGCTGTATTTGTGGGAACTAAATTTTCTACACTCATCTTCTAGTAGGGTTTAGAACATTGGTTCCCAAGTTGGCTCCATGTTATAATTTAAGTTCTTAAGGAGCTTCCAAAAATATGAATGCCTGGGTCTCACCCCTCAAGATTCTGGTTTAAGTGGTTTGGTTTGATGCCTGGGCATAAAGATTATTAAAAGTTACCTGATTCTAAGGTATAGCCAGAGTTGAATACCACTAAATTAGAAAGAAAACAAGAAACTGTTTATTAAGCACAGATGCAGTATGCAGCTAAAGACATTTCTTGGCCTTTCTTGGCCTTTGGAGAAGGCCTTTTGACAACTCAGACTCAAGTCAAAACCCCTGAGAGCTAAATATGAGTTACACACTCTACACATTTAGGAATAATCTGAGTAGACAGTCATAAGTTTTTGTGATTGTTGAATGTTATTCAATTTTGTAAAAGAGATTTAGCAAAGAAGGAAGCAAACTAAAAATTGAGTGTCAACTTGCACTTGCCACTGTTGCATATATTATTTAACTTCATTCTCAAAATACTTTGGGAGGTAGATATTATTAAATTATTTACAGATGGGCAAAGTAAATGTAAAGAAGGTCTCTAGGACTTAGACACATGTTTGTCAGACAATAAAAGTCTTCCACATTTTTTATACTATTGCAGAAGGATTCTCTTTGAGGCAGTCGATTTCAGGTAATTTTCACACTTTACCAGTATGAAAACAAAATAAAAATAGGAAAAAAAGCAGGATTCAAAGGCAGAGCACAAGATAAGGCAAACACATTTAACAAGTACTTGGACCAGTTCCCTGTTCCTATATTTCCTATGCATCTGATAGCAAACTCTGGGGAAAACATGTTAAGTTTATGGTTCAAATCTATAGCAGCTTCTATACTAGATCATTCAGGAGTTACTACCTTTTTATCCTAAAAAATTAAACAATTGGTCTCCTACTGCCTCACAAACTCTTAGTGGTAGTTATTACACATTCTTAAGAAGAGGGTTCGGAATAGCATGCTTTTGCACCCGACCAGACACCAAACCAGAATAAGATAAGGAAAAGTCTTAAAGACATTTTTTCATTTTTCCACCAAACTCAAAGGATTATTAGAACTTCTCTTCCCAAAGCAGTTTTGATTTGATGTGACATATTTATAGCAAAAGCATGGAACTTTTAACTTTAATTAGAACATTAAAAGTCCTATATTAATTTACTCATTAAAAACTATCTTTTAAAAATCTAGTTGCAGAGTTGCTGGACCCACCTTGATTTTCAAATTAAAAGAGAAAGGTTTTATCAGAAAAAAAACAAAGGAAATCAAGAGCAACAGATCCTCACTTCCCATCAGCACTGATCCTTCTATCCTGAGACCCAATATCTATCTTTTCTCCTTTCTCAGGCTCCTACCTTGTAAAGTGACATTAACTCAAATGAGTCATACTTGGTTATATCAGAGACCAACAGGAGAACACTTTCAGTGGCACAGAGTTCTTCCAAAGCATGTTCCAAAGTAAGACTATGTTGACAAGAGTAATTCCTGAATGTACTGGCTTGGAGTACGTTTGTGTTTGTTTTCGATTTCAAATGGTATTAATTATAACTTAATTATATTATAAAAAGTGTTTTGTAGTTTATTTTAAAATTACACACTCTGTCAAAAGAAGATGAAAGGAAATAAAAAGAAGTCGTCATAGTAGTTTAACCCTTATAGTCCTTTTATTCATTATGTTTGCAGCAAGCAATAAGATGAGCTATACACTTGTTGACATGGGAGAAGCTACAATGCTTCCCCATCCAATCCTTAACCTACCAAAGGTGGAACAAAGCAAGACCTGTTTTTCCTAATAATAAATAAAGAATACATCAATTCCATTCATTTAAAGATGAACACCTACTATCTATATCTTCTACTGAAAACAACTGATTAGCCAATTCATATTCACATCCTGCATTTAGGAGGCATCCTTCCAAAAATAAACAAACAAACACAAGCAATGTAAGTTTTACAACTTCTGACTCTTATCATAGTATTTAAATCTATCCTTTAAATTGACACTCGTGGCCAGGCGCTGTGGCTCACGCCTGTAATCCTAGCACTCTGGGAGGCTGAGGCGGGCGGGATTGCTTAAGGTCAGGAGTTTGAAACCAGCCCGAGCAAGAGTGAGACCCGTCTCTACTATAAATAGAAAGAAATTAATTGGCCAACTAATATGTATAGAAAAAATTAACCGGGCATGGTGGCGCATGCTTGTAGTCCCAGCTACTTGGGACTAAGGCAGAAGGATTGCTTGAGCCCAGGAGTTGGAGGTTGCTGTGAGCTAGGCTGACGCCATGGCACTCACTCTAGCCTGGGCAACAAAGCGAGACTGTGTCTCAAAAAATAAATAAATAAATAAATAAATTAACACTCGTTTGAGTGGTGTGTGTGTGTGTGTGTGTGTGTGTCTGTATGTATTACTTGTGACATGAAAAGCCATTTATATTTTTGGATGCTAGTAATCATCCTCCAAAATGTAAGTAGGCTTTACATGCAAGTAAAAATTTTGGTTGGACAAATGTAAATTCAAAGATAAAGTGACATGATGTTAAAAGAAGTCATAATTCTCTAATTGTAAAAGAGAAAGACACTATGAAATTAGTTTTTTTCTTAACAACTAGCCCCAGATATATTGTGTTTTTAATTCCACCTTTCATCCTGTCCTCTCCCCACACATACTCCCACAAAGCCTCTAGAACATCAAAGTTAGAACGCAATGTTATGAAAAAAAGTATAATAAACTTAGGATTGGATAGTAGTCTGTAAGCCTCTGTATAAATTTACTGAATCAATATATGCGGGAACTTAATTTAAAAAATGCTCCTAGAAATATTAAAAGGAGAAATAATTTGTATCCCAGCACCACCACAAGCAGCCAATGAACATGAAGCAACATTTCACCTGGACCCTGCCAACCTAGTCATCAAGAATTTGGGAAAATACCAACGCCTGTTTCATAATACAGCGACTTTTATTTTTTTTTCCCACCCTTTAGTAAACTCTCTAGTAACAAATTTTAAAATCTTGCTGGGGGCAAGGGGAAAAATGAAATCTTGCTAATTAGTTACCAGCGCCCTTCATCCCACAGATCATCCCACAGATCGGGTGTCCTACATTTTGTTTAGGTCCCGCCTTGAAAACAAACCCGATTGCCCCATTTTCTGAGAGGTAAACTCAGCTCCAAGGCAGCTTCCCTATGAAGTCACCGCGTTTGTTGTTTCAAAGATGCAATTAAACCGAAAAGACACAGGACAGCCCAACAGATTAGTCGGAAGTGTGTGTGTGTGTGTGTGGGGGTGCCGATCACACCCGTCTAAGGTCAATGAAAACCGGGTCGCTGGTAATCTCTCTGAGTGATATTTCTCCCCACCCTCCCTTTTCCATTATAGAGTCACAACAGAGGAAAATTAAACTTCTTTAAGAATTTTCTGGACTTTGGTTTAACTTTAGCTTTGCAGCTTTTTTGCACTTACACTCTCATGTAATTGGCGGGGGTGGGGTGTGTGTGTGTGTGTGTGTGTGTGTGTGTGTGTGCAGGGGATTGGGGGGGGAGGTGGTGTCGAGTGTTAACTTGACCAAGGAGAAGAAGGAAAGCAATAAAAGGGCTTGCATCAGGCAGGCAGTGTCTCTCCCTCTGGCCCCCTCTTCCCCAACCCCCCACCCCGTCTTCTCCGAGGCCTTACACAGACACATTCTTCTGGGCGGCCTCTAACCACCACACCATCTCCACAATCATTTTACAGAAATTAGAAACAGATTCCGGGAGCCCTTCCCCGGGCACGCGCGGAGCAGAGCTGCGCGTCTGAGCACACGCGGCGGGGCAGTGTCACTCCCTACTCATCGCCCCACCACCGTGCACGCTGCACCCCCCCACCCCCACCCCTTTCTCTCTGGGGTTCCCCGTCCCCAGAATCCCGCGGAGGACACAGGTCTCCCTCAGGAGCAGCTGAGACTTCATCCCCCTCCGTCCCCATTCCAGCCACCCCACCCCCACACCGCACCGCACGGAAACACCCCGCCGCCAAAACCCAGGGAAAAGTTCCTTCCACCGACCCGGGCGGGAGAAGCGCTGGGGTGGCGGGGCTGCCGCGCCGGCGTCCTCAAACTACGGCCGGCGCGGGGCCACGCACAGGCGGGGGTTTCTGCCCGTTTTTTTTTTTGTTTGTTTGTTTGTTTGTTTTCACTTCAAAATAAAGATATGTGCAGTGTGTGCATAGGAGTTTGTTCATAGTTTTTGGTTTTTTTTTTAAGCTATAGTCCGGCCCTCCAACGGTCTGAGGGACAGTGAACCGCCCCCTCCCCCCCGCCGCCTCTGTTTAAAAAGTTGGGGGACCCCGTGGCTGGCGCAACAGCAGGGAGAGGAGGAAGGCAGGTTTTGCACCTCTGCACGCACACGCAGCCCGGACGGAGCCCGGGGCCGCCCGGCGCTTACCGGCTCGTCCGGAGACCGCGTCCTGCTGCTACTGGGGCGCCGCGCGGGGGCTGCGGGGACGCGGCGTCGGGGCGGGCCGCCGGCGGCCGCCGAGAGCCGCCACCACCTCTTCTCCCCCAAGCGGCTGCGGGCGTGGGCTGAAGGAGCTGGAGAAGGAGCCTGGGGAGGGGAAGAAGAAGAGCAGCATCTCCTCCTCCTCCTCGCCTCGGAAACGCCCCTCCGGAGGCGACCCCGCCGACCGCCTTGACCCCAGAGCGCCCCGGCCCCGCCGCGCTCTCGCGCCCCTCTGAGGGCGCCGTCAGAATCCTCGGGCGCCGACGGCTCAACTCCGGCAGCGGACTCTAAGCGCCGCCGCCGAGGCGGCCCGGGGAGCTAGGCAGCGCGGCTCGCCCGCACGACGGTCTCTAGGGGCCGTGAGCATGGTGTGTGTCACCCTCGCCTCAGCGCGGCCGCTGAAGCTCGCTCGCACCGCTCCGGCTCCACCTCAGGCGGCCGCGCCGGCCCCGCCCCCCGGCCCTGTCACTCAACCCTTCCCGGGCTCCGGGAGGACCACAGATCTTCGACCGTGAGCTCCCCTCCATCTCATTGGCCGGCCTTGCCTCCAGCCCCGCCCCCTCCCTGAGGACGAAGTCTCTAGGGGCTGGAGGGGGGGCGGTGGTGGTGGTGGTGGTGCGGAGAGACCAGCGCCCCGGGTTCCCATGACAACCGGTGCCTTGGGCCTGGCTTTTTCGCGTTCCTCTGACTAAACCAGACGCTCAGGTTGATAGCCGCCGCCGCCGCGCCGGAAAGTTCCTCACCCCTTGCGCGGTGGGCTCCGACTCTCAGGCCAAGTGGGAAGTGCAGCCGGCGGCGCCCACACTTCCAGCTCCAGCAAAGTAACTTTCTGACGCTGGGGAGTGAGGGGGAAAGCGGAAAAATTCGCAACTGCTCGCTCTTCCCTGTCAGACTGAACGGCCCCTCCCCCCCATCCCCCTCCGCTGCCTCGCGGCCTCGGTTCCATGTTCTCTCTCACCCGGGCGATGTGGGGCTTTTCAGGAAAGGGTGAGGAGAAGGGGAGAGAGAGAGAGAGAGAGAGAAAAAAAAGCGGGGCTTTGCCAGCCCCCTGCCGCAATATAGCGACTTAGAAATGGCGGGGTCGACGCCAACAGCTCGGTGAGTTTTCCCACAGTTACAAAGTCATCTTGAAAGGTGTGGTGGCCGCACACACCCTCCTCCCCCCCCCAGGTTCCCTGAGGAAAACTCAAGTTCTCGTAATTTTTGAAAAAAAAAAAAAAAAGCATGCCAATACCGGTCTCGTCATGTTCCCTGTGAAACCGAGGCCATCCTTACATTAAAAAAGTTGAGGAAAAGGTTTAACATAATCTGAAAAAAAAAAAAACCTTCCATTTTTGTAGACACACCACAGCTTGGTAGAAATCCAGGTAGCCGGTGCCCTGCTGCAAGCTGCAAGATTTGAGTTTCGACAGTTTTCTAAAAAAGAAGAGTGCTTTCCGAATTCCTGAGCAAGTAGTATCTTGTGACGTGAGTTTCGAAAGTTTTGGGGTTATTCTCGGACGTCTGAGGTAAATCTGGGTCCACTCTGGAAAGCTTTTAATTATTATAGTAGAGACGGGGTCTCGCTCTTGCTCAGGCTGGTCTCGACTCCTGACCTCGAGCAATCCGCCCGCGCACTCGGCCTCCCAGAGTGCTAGGATTACAGGCTTGAGCCACCCGATACCAGGCCTTATATAGATCAGTTTTAATTTTATTTTGTGCTGGTTTCTATCCTAGATCGGGAATGAGCTTAGAGCAAGCGATTTCATATGTATACCATATCTC